AGCAAAGGAAATTTGACCAAATGGAAGAATCATGCTAATTCTAACCTCAATACTGTAGTAACTTTAAGGCTTGGGTGTAAAGTATGTTGGTGTCTATCGACAGTACAAATTCTTACAATTGACTTAACCATTTGCCATTTTAATAGTTTACATACTGAAAAGAAAACATCCTGTGGAGAAAAATGATTTCAGATTATGAACGCTTCAAATTAGCTATTTAAAATGGGGCCCTTTTCTAGACAAAGGAAATCAAGAATGAACATGATCCAAAGGAAGTCAGAATTGAACTTTCTGAGGTGAAGAGTGCACATTGTCTTAAGAGAGAGATACAGTATTTTAATCACATCTTTTCTCATTGCTTATTTCTTAGAATAATTTCTGGCTTAAAGCAAAATAATCAATGACTTTCTATTTCCTGCATTTTTCTGACATTATTTTTTGAAACAACTGATAATTAACAAGACATTCTGCATGTTTTAAACCTAGTTTTGTGAAGAATTGTCTTAACTATGTAGAATACCACCTACTGGATATGACAATTTTTATACTTAGTGAACACTGCCATTTTCTTATGGACAACTTGAGAAGAGTAATACTATGATTTATAGCAGGCGTCCTCAAACTACGGCCCATGGGCCACATCTGGCTCGCCAGGTGTTTTTGCCGCTGCTGCCAGTCCTGCTTAGCAGCTGACTTGTCCTGGGGCTGGCCCTCCAACGGTCTGAGGGGCAGTGAACTGGCCCCCTATTTAAAAAGTTTGAGGACCCCTGATTTATAGCTTTCAATAAAAATGCCAAACACTGTAGTACCTTGGAACCAGTACCTTGAAAGTAGGACTGTGTAATAGTTAAAACGTCTTAACACATACTTTTCTAATTATATAGACATCATTTTTGTTTTTTATTCCATTCTTTATTTTGATTTATATGGTAGGGTGTCCAGTACTTTTTGGTCAGACAGGTTCAAAGCAAAAACTAAAATTTCACAATGTTTTTTTTAAAAAACCTTAACAGCCCAAGGTATATTTTGTAACTATTAACGAAAGGCTTAAAATTTGGAAAACATTTTGTTGGCATAGTAGTAAGTGGGTGAAAAGGATAAATTATGTCAAAGTGAGAATGTTCTATAATTAGAAATAAAAAGCTAAAGTATGTTTCTGTCTGTTAAGTTGTATAACTGGACCTTTTCTCTACTAAACATGGCTTTTATAAATGCCTGGTCCAGTAATTGTATTCACTGACTCAGTATCTAATAGCTTATTAATGTCTTTTACAACTCTGATAATTTTCAATTATAAAAAATAACAGCTCTAATTTAAAAATGAAACTATATATTTAAATAAATTTGATACATTTTTGTAATGAAAAAAATTAAATTAAATAACATTCGAGCTTTCCTCATTTAATGTGTTCCATTTCCTCCCTAGTTTTTGTAGGAATAAGTGTCAAGGTCTTTGCTTATAAGCCTTGTTATAATAATTGCAATTTGCTAAACCTTTAGTAGAAAAATCAGTTGAATGTTGTAGCCGGCACTTGTAGGCCCAGCTACTTGGGAGGCTGAGGCAATGAATTTCATTCATTGCTACTGTTTTCTTTTTTTTTTTTTTTTTTTAAGAGACAGAGTCTCACTTTGTCGCCCTGGGTAGAGTGCTGTGGCGTCACAGCTCTCACAGCAACCTCCAACTCCTGGGCTTAGGCGATTCTCTTGCCTCAGCCTCCTGAGTAGCTGGGACTGTAGGCACCCGCTATCGTTTGTTGCAGTTTGGCCGGGGCCAGGTATGTACCCAACACCCTTGGTGTATAGGCCAGCACCCTACTCACTGGGCCACAGATGCCGTCCCCATTCATTGATACTTTGAATGATTTTCCAGTGATTTTGAACAAACTGCAATCAAAATTTAGAGGGCTCATTTATTAAAAACATGTTAACATCACTGAGAGACTCAGGTTGTTTTATACAATGGTTCCTCAAAGGTTCAAACATCTACAAAATCTGAGTGAAAACAAAGAAAATACTGTCCCAAACCATAACAAAGTAATTTTTTTTTTCTGGAAACAGAGTCTCACTCTGTTGCCCCAGGCTAGAGTACCCTGGCATCATCACAGCTCACAGGAACCTCAAACTCCTGAGCTCAAGTGATCTTCCTGTCTCAGCATCCCATGTAGCTGGGACTACAGGTGCCTGCTACAACATTCAGCTCATTTTTCTACTTTTAGCAGAGACAGGGTATCACTCTTGCTCAGGCTGGTCTCAAACTCCTAAGCTCAAGCAATGCACCTGCCTCAGCCTCCCAGAGTGCTAGGATTACAGGCCTGAGCCACTGCGCTTGCTCTCTTTTATTTTTGATACAATAATAAAAGATTATACAAAAAGAAATAAACAAAAGCACTAGAGCCATTGAGTATATACACTTCTCAAGGGTTTCAAAGGGAAGCAAAGAAATGGGTAGGGGGTGGCAGAAGAAATATGTTTCTTTTTTAGATTTTCATTAAGACACTGGACACTACACGCACATACCTTGTAGCTCGCAGATTTAATTCCATCAGGAACTTCATCCTGAAAAAGAAAAAAGGAATGTTTCCAGATGACATTCACTGTATTTTCTGAAAAAATATTTTAAATTTCTATGATGTATGAGAAAACTTCAGAAAACAAATTACTAAAGGTAGATTATTTTTAATAGACTAGCTAGGTAGTATTTATATGATTTCTTAAAAATAAAAAATCCAACAAATTATTCTATGAATTGGTGATCATATATTATAGGATCAAGATCTAAAAATAGTCACGTAGCCATTATTCATTCTCATGTTCAAACTGTCCCATATTTGACCACTAGATTATCCACTAAGTCTCACTTGATATTGACACCTGTGCCCTTTGGATATTGTTCCAGTTGGTACCATTTTTTGTTTTCTGTGATAGCAAGATGTTCCAGGTTCATCTTATTACTCTTTCTCCGCTCTCAGAATCAACCATATGTTAAGGAGCCCTAGTTCTTCTCAGAGGAAACTGGGCCTGGTTTTTAGTTGTGTTGGCCACTCAGTTCACTGCAGCACTATCTGCACGTCCTTGAAGGGATACCCTGAGTAGATAATCAATGACACCTCAGAACTCTGTCAATTGTAGGACACCATTCCAATGTCAGGTGTACTCCTGAAATAGATTACACCTGCCCACAGGGAAAGACCCACACAGATCACCACTTCATTGTAGACTCTCCTGGACTCTGAACAAGGTTAATGTATATTCTTTTTCTATGGCTAGACATTTACATGGTTTCTAATTTTTTCATCTAATAAAAAGTGCCAAAGATATAGATTAATTTCAGAAGAGGTGACATCTTTACAATATTCAGTACTGCTTTCCAGACTTCTTTGAACATTTGTCCAATTATTTCACTAAGTAAAATGAAGAACTGCTAGGTCAAAGTATATGCAGCTTTTAAAATTTTTTGATACATTTGCCACATTGATCTACAAAAAGAAAACCACCAAAGTGCAGTTCCTCATTCCCAGACTAATAATAATGGGTATTGTTATTCTTGTCACTCTGGCCAATTAATAATAGAGGTGAAAGAATGTTGTCTTGATTAATTATAAAGAGGATAAATGACTGGCCTTTCAGCTGACAGAGAGATTCCAGCCTTTCCAGGCAGACCATCTGCCTTATTCAAATAGTCTCTGAAATCAGGTGCAAACTAGAGACTTTTTTTTTAAGTGCCAAGTATGAAAAAGAGAACTTTAATCTTCACTATTTTTCTATCTTCTGCTGGGTCACACAGTATCACTTGAACAGAGTCTATAAATAAACTAAAAAGGGGAATCAGAGTGTTGACAAAAGGAAACTGGTCTTTGTTTCTTTTTCAGCCTCAAAAGGCACGAGCAGAACAGCAGCTGACTATCTGAAGTCTTTTCAGCCTCAAAAGGCACGAGCAGAACAGCAGCTGACCATCTGAAGTCCTGCGCCGCTGACCATCTGAAGTCCTGCGCGGCCCTGCCAACCCTGTACATGGACCGTTAACTTCAGATTACGAAGGAGCTGCTCACTCCCTGCCCTGGGTGTGACAATGGTCATGAAGTACAGTCCTTTCTTCTAGACGCAGGCTGTAGTCTGTGATAGTGACATGTCATGATAGCAGCAAGGCACAGTACAAAAGCCAGCTATGAAAGGTGATTATTTAGGGGGAAGCAAGGATTCCAAAGGACTTAAAGTGATCTTTAGTTAGTGTTTTTGTTTTTTGGGTTTTTTTTGAGACAAGAGGCTCATTCTGTTGTCCTTTTGTTGGATGTCACAGTTCACAGAAATCTCAAACTTTTGTGCTCAAGTGATTCTCTTCTCTCAGCCTCTCGAGTAGCTGGGACTACAGGCACCTGCCACAACACTTGGCTATATTTTAGGGACACTGTTGCTCAGGCTGGTCTTGAACTCCTGAGCTCAGACAATCCACACACCTCAACCTCCCAGAGAGCTAAGGTTACAGGCATGAGCCACCACGCCAGGCTCAACTGATCTTTAATCACTCTGGCACACCAAACTATTAGAGACTATGAGAACTGAGCCCAGGCTTGTCCTAAGAGGAATGTGACAGGGGTGCCCCTCACCGTCCCGGCCATGAGTTTCCCAGGGCAGCTCACACTGTGTGCACCTTCTGGGTTTCTCTAGTGCTGGGCTATCACAGGGGTGACAGGGACTGAAAGGGTCAGGTAGTTTCTCTCCCCTCCTAAACCATGAGCTCCTCTAGGACAGCTCTCATCCCATAAGCCCAGGTCCTGCCACATATGAAGCACTCAGAAAATATTCATAACTGAGCCAAATTACATACGATTGATAATGACTTAACTTCACCAGTCCCTTCTCTATCTCTACATCTTCCACTCTCCATAATTCTGGCCTCATCCTGGCTCTTCTCAGCTGAGCTAATATATACAGACTTCTAAACTAAGCACATTTTTAGGGGGATAAACATCTTCCAATAACTTTTTAAAGAAAAAGCCTTGGATGCCTTTAGCTCATTGGTTAGAGTACTGGCTCTGTGCACTAGGGGTGCCGGGTGGCCCAGGCTTGCTTTACCAAAAAAAAAAAAAAAAAAAGAGCATTGGCCATCCATTACTGCAGAAGCTGAAATAATGAGACTTTGTCTCAATTTCTCAGGAAAAACTGAATCACTGGGTCAATTTCACCTAATTTTTAGTATTCCTATGTATTCAAATAAAATTATAAATATATCTTTCAGCACTTCTTAAATGCCAAAATTGGTTGTTTTCTCTAGTATTCACCATAAAATGCATCTCATCCATCAGTCTGTCAACCTAGGAGTCAATAAACTCTTCTTTTATGCTAAGTATCTTTCAGGTTTTCTGTCCCCTCCAACCTTCTTTTTAAAGTGCCTCATCTAGTTTTATACCTTATTAATGATAATCAGAAATAACTGCTATTTCAAGATGAGGCTCAACTTCACAATAACTGTGAAACTATTCACATTTTTTCCGATTAATGTTAATAAAAAGCCCATTTAACGCACAAGTGCAATTAAATGCCTTTATTACATATCAACCATATTTTAGCGCTTTTACTAAGTCATATAAATAAGAGATATTGGTAAATTTATATTTTTCCAATTAATTTTTCCTATTACTAAATTATAAATGCAGAAACTTGTAAAACAAAATGGTTAAATTGCTGATATGACTTTAATGATGTGCTTATACTTTTATAACAGTAACAAGGTGTTTCATAAATTAATCCTTGAATTTTCCAAAAGCAGTGTCTATGAAGATTAATAGAACTAAAAATATACTTCTCATTCTCCTATGAAAATATTTCACATTTGCCATAATTCCACATGCTGGATAGATCTACGCAGCATATTCACACGTATAAAATGAACGGGTGAAAACTACAATACTACTTCACACCTATTATGATGGCTACCTTTAAAAACCAGAAAATAGGGCCAGCACAGTGGGTCACGCCTGTAATCCCAGCACTTAGGAGACTAAGGTGGGTGGACTGCCTGAGCTCATAGGTTGGAGACTGGCCTGAGCCAGAGTGAGATCTCATCTCTATTTTTTTTTGTTTGTTTGAGACAGAGTCTCAAGCTGCCGCTCTAGGTAGAGTGCTGTAATGTCATAGCTCACAGCAACCTCAAACTCTCGGGCTCAAGCAATCCTCTTGCGTCAGTTTTTCTATTTTTAGTAGAGATGCTGTCTCACTTTTTGCTCAGACTGGTCTCAAACCCATAAGCTCAAACTATCTACCTGCCTCGGCCTCCCAGAGTGCTAGGATTACAGGCATGAGCCACCATGCCCAGCCAAGAGACCACATCTCGAAAAAAAAATAGCCAGGCATTGTGTAGGCACCTACAGTCCCAGATACTTGAGCGGCTGAGGCAAGAGAATCACTTAAGCCCAAGAGTTGGAGGTATGAGGTATGAGTTATGAGCCACAGCACTCTACCAGGATGACAAAGTAAGACTGTGTCTCAAAATAAATAAAAACAGGAAATAACAGTATTATCAAGCATGTAGAGAGACTGGAACGCTTGTACACTCCTGGTAAGAATGTAAAATGATACAGCCACTGTGGGAGACAGCATAGCAGACCCTCAAAAAAATTTAAACATTGGATTATCTTCTCATCCAGCAAATCCACTTCTAGGTTATGTACCCAAAAGAAAAGATTCAAACAGATATAGCAGAACTTTCATAACTGACCACCTCCCTACGCTGAACACCTCCTTAAGTTGATCTCATTTTCATGGACCAGACATGCACCACACGTGAAGGACCCGTACAGCAGGCCAGGTTTTACAGTGACTAGCTCTGTGTACTGACCAGTGTGTCACCGTCCCTTGGGCAGTCAATTTACAGAGGTTCTAATGTGTCATATAATTCCTTACATGAGGAATTCTAGCTAAAATAGTCAAATTCATAGAGAAATAGAACAGAACGAGAGGGAGATGGGAAGGAACTGTACAGTTCAGCAGGCACAGTTTCAGTGCGGGAGGAAGGCAAGTTCAGAGATGGCCAGTGCTGACAGCTGCACTGGTTATCCAATGTGAATTGCTTAATGCCACTCAACTATACACTTAAAAAGGACTAAAATGGTAAAATGGCTAAAATTTTACCATTAATAAGGTAAAATAAAAATACATACTTCTAAAGGAAAAACATGGCTTCATTTGAAAGTATTAAGAAATCTCTTTTATGACAGAATACTTCAAATTTCAATACTCTGAGAATTCCTAAGCAAGACTGATTGTTTTACCTACTTCCAATCCTCACCACAGGAAATCCAAAGAAAAAATGTACCCAATAAGGTGAACAGATTGTGTTTATACCTTGATTAATATCTACGCTATATACATAACTTTGGTCAGGTAAGGTAAAAAAGAAAAAAAAAATTCAAGCCAAATTAATTTGTCTCATAAGTCAATGGATTACATGAACCACAGAATTTTAATTCTATTGGTATGAAGGGAGGAGAGGTTTTATATTTGATTTGCAAGTGTGGGTTTTCAATATGTAAAGAATGTCTATATTTAGCTGAACATGGTGGCTCATACCTGTAATCCCAGCACTCTGGGAGGCCAAGGCAGGTGGACTGCCTGAGCTCACGGGTTCAAGACCAGCCTGAGCAAGAGCAAGACCTCATCTCTAAAAAAAAATAGCCAGGCACTGTTGTGGCAGGTGTCTGTAGTCCCAGCTACTTGGGAGGCTAAGGCAAGAGGATCACTTGAGCCCAAGAATTTGAGGTTGCTGTGAGCCATGACGTCACAGTACTCTACCAAGGGCAACAAAGTAAGACTCTGTCTCAAAAAAAAAAAAAAAAAAAAAAAGAATGCTATATTTAAACTAAGGATTACAATATTATTTGGTTACACTGGTCCTCTTTTAAAAGCTGTAACAGATGAAAATATGTGTGGCTCTTACAGATTGACAAGGCCTGACAGCACAGTCCCTCCTTCCACACTGACTGATATCATTCCAGAAAGGGCACGGCCTCTTCAGGTTTACCTGTAAAGGTTATAAAAATAAGAATCCTGAGATTATAATGAACAAACATGAATCAAGGTGCTATAACCTAGCCATGTATTCTATTTTTTCTACTTACCTATTGTCAAGTTCCCATGATTATATAATGTAAGTGTGTAGCTAGTGCAAGCAGATTGGCAGACTTGGTTAGAAAGACAGAGACTGCTGCTCCACAGGCCTGAACAGACAGTGATTAGGAGCCACACGAGCTCCGATCGTCACTGCTCAAGGACACCCATTTTAAGCAAGAACGAGTTAACGGAGAACAGTCAGACAATTGTGAACTCAGACTATAACTAAATACTCCAATGATTAGGTTTTCCAAAGCCTTCCACTAGATACATCCAGATAAAGTAGCACAACTGACTTGTTATAATAATACGTGGGTCAGTATACATGTGGTGTCATGAAAGACTGTCATGGTCCACTGCTTCAGTTGACAGGGTCCTCTCTGATTCACCTGCGCAAGTCTCAGCTGCTCAGCTTATCAGTGCTGCTGGGAGGGCTTCACTTGTCTCCATCTGCAAGGATTTTATTCTTCTTGCTTTTTATGTATCCCAAAACTTTTGTAATAACCCATGGATAGGTCAGAATAAAGTCATGCTTTTCAAAAATATTTAAGTAATTGGAGTCACTCTAATATTTCAGAAAATTATGACCTTACAATTTTGATAACATGATGAGAGTTTCTGTTCTAATTTCAATTTAATCAAATAGTTTCTAACTCTGGAGTATGAAACTCATTTATGAAAATTAAGAGTATCAATGGGTGATTTCAGAACTACTTGGTTCACTCTTGTGAACTGAATTTGCTTAATAAGACCTATATTGATTTTAAATAAGAACCACAATTTTGAAATTTGGTAATTCTCAAGAAAATGTAATTGGCCATTTAAATGTTAAGTATTCTTATACAAAAAATTAAAATCAAAAATACCTTGTAATATCTAAAGTAGTCACTTTCAAGAAGTTTTTGCAGTCTTGGGAAAAGCCTGTAGTTATTAAATTTATCAATGGTTTCAACATCACAGGTACAATCGTCCAAGTAACCGCTAACCTGTTAAAAAAAAAAAAAGAAAGAACTATTAAATTAAAATGTCCTAGAGGAAACAAGGTTCTTTTCCTTCACCTAGCTTTTATGAAATAGCCCCTTACTCAACCAACCTTTATCCTCCCTCTCCCCAATAATCTCCTGAGATGAGGTATGATAATTTAATAATAGTGTTACTCTTACCTGTAAGAATTACCTGCATTTCTTTTTTTTTTTTTTTTTTTTGAGACAGAGCCTCAAGCTATCCCCCTGGGTAGAGTGCCATGGCATCACAGCTCACAGCAACCTCCACCTCCTGGGCTCAAGTGAGTCTCCTGCCTCTACCTCCCAAGTAGCTAGGACTACAGGTGCCCGCCACAGCGCCTGGCCATTTTTTGGTTGCAGCCATCATCGTTGTTTGGCGGGCCCGGGCTGGGGATTCGAACCCGCCACCTTAGGTGTATGTGGCTGGAGCCTTAGCCACTTGAGCCACAGGCGCCGAGCCAAGAATTACCTGCATTTCCATTACATTACCTAGAATAATGTGGCAGACACCTGTGTAGGATGTGCTGAGCTCATAACCTCTCTCACACACTCACACACAGAATTGGTTACTTGGCAGCCATTTATATTATACTCTGCCCCTACCCGGCCAAAGTTGACCCAACCAAGGTCCTGGTCTCCTCTCCAGGAATCTGGAATTGAGACTCAGAAGGAGAGGTACGTTTCCTTATGGGTAGGCCAGTAAACAAGAAAACTCAGACTATATTCCAACAAGTAAACTGAGGAGCACATTAGGCAGTTGTAGGAGAGAAGAAAGATTTTAAAAGATGCACAAAGACTGACTCAGCACCTGTAGCTCTGAGGCTAGGGCACCAGCCACATACACCAGGGCAGGCGGGTTTGAACCCAGCCTGGGCCTGCCAAACAATGATGACAATTACGACGACAACAACAACAACAACAAATGGCTGGGCATTGTGGCAGGTGCCTATAGTCCCAGCTACTTGGGAGGCTGAGGCAAGAGAATCACTTAAATCCAAGAGTTAGAGGTTGCTGTGAGTACTGAGGGCAATACAGTGAGACTCTATTTCAAAAAAAAAAGATACACAAAGAAGCAGAGATAGGGCAGGGGAGGGGAGGGGACAGCACACACACTCAGAATGTGCAGCAGAAGCACATGCCGCTTGTGTCCCCAGGGGTTTCCAGTTCCCGCCTCCCCCATCTTTCCTGAAGCCCAGTTCTGCTCCCTTTCTCAGCTTTCTGGAGACCCCATAATGGTCTTATAATTCAGTTATCTCTGTCTTTCCTTTATTTTAATTTCCCACAGGTTGTATAGATCAGAGATAAGCTTATGAATATATAAAGCTTATGAATGTATAAAAAGATATGATACTGAATTTATTTTTAAAACTCAATAATTCATAATCATCTAACAACCCTCGACTACTGGACCATATGAATTTCTCAGGTTTGGTATGGTGCTCAGAATTCCTTATCATTGGCAACACTGAAACAGCAAACTGATCACAAAGCCAATTCTGATCTTCAAATGCTTGAAAATAGTAATTATAGTTACTAAATCAAACAAATGCACATTGGGAAATCCCAATCAATAGTATCAGTTATGAAACTAAAATTCTTTACTTTTTCTTTTTTTTTTTTTTTGAGAGTTTGTTATCCAGACTTGAGAGCAATGACATGATCATAGCTCACAGCAACCTCAACTCCAGGGCTCAAGCCATCCTTCTGCCTCAGCCTCCTGAGTAGCTGAGACTACAGACGCCTGCCACATCACCCTGGTAATTTTTTGTTTCTGTTTTCCATAGCTATGTTGCTCAAGCTAGTCTTGAACTCCTGACTTCAAGCAATCCTTCTGCCTTGACCTCCCAAAATGCTAGGATTACATGCATGAGTCACTGTACCCAGCCAAAACTAAAATTCATAAATGTTCATTTGGATTAGGCAAGCACCTAATAGAATTAAATGTAGTTTTGAGTGACACATTAAAAAAAAAAAACTTATACATTAAAAAAAAATAACACAGCACAGCATGCTCCAGAAGAGTCCTTCATCATACCCTGAGCCCAGGAGTTTGAGGTTGCTGCAAGCTAAGATAACGCCATGGCACTCCAGCCTGGGCAACAGAGTGACACTGCCTCAAAAGTACATATATATACATAAATTCCTCTTACATATTTTGTATGAATGCCTCTTAAAAGTGCTCAAAGTATTGGCTCGGCACCTATAGCTCAGCAGTTAGGGCACCACCCACACTGGAGCTGGCGGGTTCAAACCCAGCCCAGGCCTGCCAAACAATAATGACAAGAACAACAACAACAAAAATAGCCCGGCATTGTGGCAGGTGCCTAGGCTGAGGCAAGAGAATCACTTACACCCAAGAGTTGAAGGCTGTTGCGAGCTATGACGCCACAGCACTCTGCCAAGGGTGGACATAGACTCTGTCTCCAAAAAAAAGTGTTCAAAGTGCCAATTAGGAAAGAGAAAGAAAGAAAAAGCATCCAAATCTAAAATAAAGTAATAAAGCTCTCTTTACAGATGACATGATCTATAGTACATAGAAAACCCTAAGGCAGGGCAGCACCTGTGGCTCTGTGAGTAGGGTGCCGGCCCCATATACCAAGGCTGGCAGGTTCAAATCCAGCCCCGGCCAAAGTGCAACAAAAAATAGCTGGGTGTTGGGGTGGGCACCTGTAGTCCCAGCTACTTGGGAGGCTGAGGCAAGAGAATCACCTAAGCCTAGGAGTTGAAGGTTGCTATGAGCTGTGATGCCACGGCACTCTACCAAGCGTGATAGAATGAGACTCTGTCTCTAAAAAAAAGAAAAAACTCTAAGGCAGTGGTTCTCAACCTTCCTAATGCTGTGAACCTTTAATACAGTCCAAAGGGGTCGCGACCCACAGGTTGAGAACCACTTCCCTAAGGAGTCCATCAGAAAAACTGTTAATGCTAATAAATTCATAAAGATACAGAATACAAAATATGTGAAAATCAATTCATTTCTGTACACTAACAATGAACCATCCAAAAAAGAAATTAACCATCCTGTTTACAACAGTACCAAAAAAGAATAAAATATTAGGAATAACATTAACCAATTACACTGAAAACCGTAAAACACTGATGAAAGAAACTGAGGACAACACAAATGGAAAGATATCCCCTGTTTATGGACTGGGAGAATTAACACTGTTAAAATGTCATTCTTCCCACAGCCATCTATTCTCACCACCCATATACACAAAAAAAGTACTGAGGTAAGGTCACGTATTGTGGTAGTCAGCTCCAGTATACACATACGGTACATCTTAAACATATGTAATATATTTAAACCTTACATATATGTAACATATTTAAATCTTCAATATAAGGCAACAAAGGTGAGGGGAGGTAAATACAACAAACAAAAATGTGCTTTACTTGGCAAAGAACCTTATGTATATTTAACTTTATTCTATTTTGTGACCATTTAAAAAAAAAAGAGTGAGAGAGACCATGAAAATTATTCATTCACTGACAGAAGTCCATGGGGACAACTCTGTCAGTGAAAGCAGGGAAATACCAAAGCTTCTACGCGAAGTAGGAGCACCATTCTGAGCACAGGGAACAGGAGAGCTACTTTTGCTCCTAAAACTTCACACTGCTGTCAAATGACTTGAAGGCGCAGCAACCATTGCAGAAACGTTTCTTTCACACACCTTATTCGTAAAGCCCGGGCTGTCGCAGGCACTCAGAGTCAGTGCACAGCTCTCCAGTATAACCGGTTTCAAAGATCCTCTGACTAAATTTTAATCCTGGGCTTATTTACACCCACCACTCAACATAGCATCAAGCGTCTCTCCCAAGGCCCAGCCACTCCGGCTAAAAATGAAAATCATTTTTTAAATGGATCAAACAAGATACCTGACAGGTTAAATCTGCTAAAATATGTTTGCAGAATACGTACAACACATTCGGAACTAAAATAATCGTTTGTCTGGAGCAGTCCCTTTGGGTTATATAAGCCACTCCCCTCTCCCTAGGCTGACAGACTGGCCACCATCAGACAAGTAGGTCTGAGTACCACCATCACCAGCCATGTTCAGACTGATGGAACCTGTAAGTCCACAGCAGCTTACAGACTTGTTTCTAGGGTGGCGCCTGTGGCTCAAAAGGGTAGGGCGCCAGCCCCATATACTGGAGGTGGTGGGTTCAAACCCAGCCCCAGCCAAACAAACAAACAAAAAAAAGACTTGTTTCTAACTAACTCAGAAGCAAAAGATGTCCATACTGCTTCCATGATTCTGCTTCAGTATTTCTTCTGAGGTTATTTCTTTAAAATGCATCCAGGTGAGTGGCGCCTATGGCTCAGTAAATTGGAGGCTGACCCCATATACCAAAGGGTGGGGGATTTGAACCCAGCCCTGGCCAAACTGCAATAACAACAACAACAAAAAGAGCTGGGCGTTGTAGCGGGCACCTGTAGTCCCAGGTACTTGGGAGGCTGAGACAAGGAAATGGCCTAAGCCCAAGAGCTGGAGGTTGCTGTGAGCTGTGATGCTACAGGACTCTACCGAGGGCAACAAAGTGAGACTATCTCTAAAAAAATAAAAAATAAAAATAAAAATAAAATGCATCCAGGGATTCCGTGAACTGGGGACTGAAGTTCTGTTTTGTTCATTTTCTAATGGTACATAATGGGGCAGTAACTGTCAACGAGGAATAAGAAACTGAAGTCTTCATTTACTTTAAGCCCATATTGTTTACAGCCAATACTAGGAAAATTATTTTGGTTTAAAGAAAGGGTAGGTCCCATTTGTAGAGCTGTTTATACAACCTATATATATGTATTAAACGTCATAGGCTTACATCCTCCCAGGGGGGAAACAACCCAATTTTCTGTGAAAATTTTAAAAAACAAAAATATTTTAAATAGAATAATTTTTTAATGGCCCAGCACAATGGCTCACATCTGTAATCCTAGCACTCCAGGAGGCCGAGATAGGAAAATCACTTAACTGAAGAGTTTCAGATCAGCCTGAGCAAAGTGAGACTCCGTCTCTACTAAGAAAACTAGCTGGGCGTTGTGGTGGGCAGTTATAGTCCCAGTTACTCAGGAGGCAAGAGGATCTCCTGAGCCCAAGAATTTGAGGTTGCTGTGAGGTATGATGCCATGGCACTCTACCAAAGGTGACAGAGTGAGACAAGAAAGGAAAAAAGAAGGAAGGGAAAGAGGAGGGAGGAGGGAGAGGAGAGAGGAGGAGAAGGATTTAAAAGCGGAGGTTGTATATGAGGTTGTATATAAGGATTGTCCATATAAAGATGTACAAGTCCCTCATAAAAAGATGTACAAGTCCCAGGCAATTAATCATAATTTCGAGCAATTAACATTAAAGCACTATTATCAAAGGAACTTGCAACATACAGTGAAATAGTTTTAGTAGGATCTGATGTTGTAATAACTAACAGGCATATGTAAAAACTGACCAAATTCAAAGACTCGTGCAGGCTGTGAACCTACCTGACAGATCTGTTCCAGGAAGCATGCAAGTGGCTTGCTAAGCAGAATAATTTTTAGAATATATCCCTGCTGGCATGGTGCCTACACTGTAATTTCCCTAACAATTACTGAGCACCAGTTATGTACCAGGCTCAATACTCAGTGGTGTCAGAGGACTTTTTAAGTCATTTTTTAACCTCTCAAAATTTGTTCAGACTAGGCCTCAACAAATGCACGTTGAATTTAATCTGTTTTACCTGTAGAGCTCTACACATTTTACTTTGGTGATTTTCTAAGGTCAAATAACAATATGCCCACTCTGGCTCAAATCTGAGCCAGGACTCTGGTCAGGGAACCCTGCAGCAAGCCAGGCAGCGGGCAGTGAGGGGCGGTGACGTGGGAGCCCAAGGCAGAAGTGGTAAGAGAGACAAGCAACAGGAAGGAAGAGAAGATAAAACTACTAAGAAAACAGTCAACAGGGCTTTGCAGCTCACTGTGTACTGTAAACAGAAACAGAGGTTTTAACTTATATTTCCTTCCCAACTTTAGATGAAATTTTAGTTTTTAATTTAGTTTCTAGCAATATTTATTAACTTTTGTAAGTGCTTAGGATGATAGTTATTTCTGTGTCCCAACCACCCAGATCAGTGTACACAGCAGTTACAAGTGTTTGTTGAATGATCTGCCCCATTCGCTTCCCCTTGTCTTTCCTACCTCACCCTATTTCTCTGCACATCTGTGTATACGCTTGTCTCGATTCTCCTCTGCATGTGTATACATCATTGTCACCTCGCCTTCCCCCCTCACCATTATCCCTTCTATTAGTGCCACAATAGCATATATTTGTTTCATTTATTGAATTGGAATTGATGTTCTCCATTTTTAAATATACTAAATTTAAGTAGACCATTTTAAATTTCTCTTATAGTTTTTTTTTAAACTATGTGACCCTCAATTTACTATTCTGTCTTTTTTTTTTGAGACACAGTCTCACTATGTCGCCCTCGGTGGTAGAGTGCCAAGGCATCACAGCTCACAGCAACCTCAAACTGTTGGGCTTAAGCGATTCTCTTGTCTCAGCCTCCCAAGTAGCTGGGACTACAGGCGCCTGCCACAACGCCCAGCTATTTTTGTTGTTGTTGTTGCAGCTGTCATTGTTGTTTAGCAGGCCTGGGCCAGGTTCAAACCTGCCAGCCCTGGTGTATGTGGCTGGCACCGTAACCAGTGAGCTATGGGCAACGAGCCTCAATTTACTATTCTTTAAAGATGACTTTGAGGTCCCGGCACAGTGGCTCACACCTGTAATCCTAGCACTCTGGGAGGCCAAGGCAGGTGGATTGCCTGACCTCACAAGTTAGAATCAGAGTTTGAGATAAGCCAAAGCAAGATGTCGTCTCTAAAAACAGCCGGGCATTGCGGCCAGAGCCTGGAGTCCCAGCTACTTGGGAGGCTGAGGCAAGAGGATCACTTGAACCCCGAAGTTTGAGGTTGCTATGAACTACAATGCCACAGCACTCCACCAAGGGTGACAATGTGAGACTCTGTCTCAAAAAATAAATAAATAAAATAAAGATGACTTTGAAAAAAAAAATCACTTGATCTAAAAGGAAAAGAAAGGAGTCTAACAGATTTTTGTGTTGGGAAAATATTTAAATTGGAGGATACTGGAAGAGAGGAAAAAATCCTAATCACTAATCAGGAAAAAAAAAAAGAAATGTAAAAAATTAAAAGTTTCCCAATTTTAAGCAGATCTCTAATGGGGCTATTGGGGGGAAATGAGACGTTTGCTAAGTTCAACGTGTACTTTTACTCATTATTCAGACCTCTAGAGTGTAGCTGAAAATGTTACACTTGGGTATCTTCCTTCAGTACTGAACACCTTAAATCACTTACTCCTACCTTACTTATTTTTAAATGTATAAACTTTGTGTTACATTTGTACTCAGGAGAAAAATGACCCTTGTTCCTTTTCAGTACTTGCATGAGGTTTGCAATCAATGAAGATAAAGAAGCATTCAGGCTCTCAGCTGTAAAGCAGCAATCCTCTTTCAACTTCCTTTACAGTTGCTGTTAATACCTCAATTCCGCAATCACTCAGCAGAGCAACAAAATGCAAGAATTTACAGCGGCAGAAGTAATATCATAATCATAATTCATAGTATTCAAGGTGCTTCCTCCCTCTATGAGATGGTGTTATGCTCCTACTCACATTATTTCTGATCACTAATTGAAAATCTACTCAAAAGAAATAACGTGGATGCCTACCTCTTAATTTTGTATAAAATGTAATTTTTATCAACAGAAGTCAACCAAAAGGTGGCTTTAACAAGAGTAATAACATTCAAATATCAGATGCTGAGGATACACGAAACCTGAAAGTTTCTGTGAATGCTCAAGGAACCCACATCTCTCACAGAAGAAAATGGTCCTAACAAGCTTTGTAACCAGTGCACGAAAGAGTGGGGGCATCCTCCCAATTCAGACCAGCTGAATTGGAGTCGCAATGCGAGATCTACTTACATCCAGGAGAAAGAAAGCACATCACAGGACGAGGAGTCACGGGGCATCTGCAGCCCCAGAGACACTTGGCAGGTGGGCTCAGGCACAGAAGAGCCACACGTTGTCATTCTCCCACCGGACAGAGAAATCTGAGTAGCAGCCCCTTACAAGAGCCTGTCTTAGAAAGGCTGGCGAAGGCAACCAGCACAGGCACGGGGTACAAAAGTTCCTGGTCGCTGGAAGTTGGCAAGACCCAGGTTCTGTGAAAATGGCACACGGAGCGTGCGTGGTGCCCTGCGCACACCCTACCCGGGCAGGGAAGACCCACAACGGTGCACAGACCCATACGGAGAACACAGTGCACCCCACCCCCGCCCCGGGGCGAGCGCCGCAGTCCGACTACTGGGGAGCCGGGTCTGCGCCAACCCGGAGGGCGGCAGCGGGCTCAGCCGCGGCCCCGTGCAGAACCTGAGGGGCCTCCTTCCGGGCGCGGAGGCCGAAACGCGCCCAGCCGCTCGCCCCCCGTGCCCTGCGGAGCGCACAGAGCTCACCTGGCAGAAGCAGCGCTGCGCCGCGGTCCCCGGAGCCTGCTGTCCGCCCTGGCCCGACGCGAGCAGCCACACCGCGCCCAGCAGGCCGCCCAGGAAGCCCCAACCGCGGCCCATAGCCGCCGGCCGCTAGTCGCCCCGCGCCCCGGCGCTCCCAGCTCCCGGCGCAGGCCGGTGCCCTCAGATGAAGCCCGCGCAGGGCGCCCCACCCCGGGGCCGCCCCCAGGCCCGCCCCCGGCCCCTCCGCCCCTCGCCGGCGCCTCCCCGGCGCAGCCTGCGGACGTGCTCCGCGCCTCGAGCCCGCTTCCTGCCCGGCGCGTGAGGCTGACGCACCTCCCGCTCGCTCGGCCCCGCCCACCCGCTCGGCCCCGCCGCCCGGCGCCCTCCGCCTCCCTTCGAGCGCCGCCTGGATGCGGCGCGGGCCCGGGTCCTTCCTCTCACGAAGTCGGGGACCCGAGCCCGAGGGGTCCGCGTTCCCTGCCCGGCCCGCTCACTCCCCGCTAGTCCTTCCGTGTCTCTGTGCGGGGAAACCCGACAGTAAGAATTCCGAGTCCACACTGTCCCCGACGGTGTTGAGCGGAAAGGGATACTGGAGACCTTCTAGACCGGGCTGCACGTGCCATTTACACACAGCCACATCAACAGAGCAAAAAGAAACAGGCAAAAGTTATTTAAAAAGGTATTTAACCCGGTATGTGCAAAATATAATCAATAGTAAATTAATTCATAAGCTATTTTACTCTTTTGATTTTGGAAATCCGGTGTGTGTATTATATGTACGAGGCATGTGTAGTCCTTGTGGTTGGCAAGTGCTCACTGTGTGGACCCGCGAGACCACCCTCTCCTTACATGGAGTGACCAGGCCCAGGGAGGTGAGATTTGGGATTGGAAATGGCAAAGATTGGAAGCTGGGGAGTGATAGACGCCCCAGGTCCTCTGATTCCCGGTCCTGACCGTGAGACTAGTCTATCAGGTTGGGTTGGGGGTTCTGGTTTTTAAAAAGACATTTTCAAGGTGAAACTGGAAGCTTTCCATCGTATTGCACATCGAAAGTTAAAATGTTTTAAATGATCTCTCTTGGCCGGGTACAGTGGCTCGTGCCTGTGTTCCTTGCACTCTGGAAGGCCTAGATGAGTGAATTGCCTCAGCTCTGGAGTTCCAGACTAGCCTAAACAAAAGCCAGAACCTGTCTCTAAAAAATATCCGGCGTCGTGGTGGCGCCTGTAGTCCCAGCTACCAGGGAGGCTAACGCAAGAGGATAACTGGAGCCCAGGAGTTTGAGGTTGCTGTGAACTGTGACACCATAGCACTCCACCGAGTGTGACAAGTGAGACTCTGTCTCCAAAAAAAACAGTATCATAAGGTGAGACTTAAACTCACTGCAAAGCCTATAGTTCTGTTCATCACTGCCAAATGGATTGACATGTAGTAAAAACTCAACAACCCATCGGAGATTCTGGTGGACCTGAGAAGTTCTGGTTCTAATGTCTCCGACATGGCCCATGTACGTATCAGTATGATATCCCTCCTTACCTGGAAAGGTCTTTTTCATACTTCCCAGAGCCAGACCCAGCTCATGTGCTCCGTCTGCTAAGTGGACTTCCTGGTTTCCTCTTCACCCAGTTCCAGTCCCTATCTGAATAGATTTACTCAATAAGTTTACTCTGTGCCAGCCTGGGCTTGACACTGGAGATGTCAAGACGTGTAAGGCCCAGTCCCTGCATATGGAGGGACACCTATGGAATTCTATGTAATTTTCAAAAAGATGTTGGACAAATTATACTCATGTGTGTATTAGGGTACAATGTAATATTTTGATCAATATATACATTGTAGAAAGATTAAATCAGGCTAATTAACATACCCATCACCTCACCAACTTCTTTTTATGGTGGCAGTTTAAAAATATTCTTTCCGCAGTTTTACAATTAGCAATATGTTGTTACTAACTACAGTCACTTCTTCCTCCTATTTAACTGAACTTTGTACCCTTTGACCAGCATCTCCCTCTTCCCCAGCCTCTGGTAACCACTTTTCCACTCAGTTTCTATGAGATCTACTCTTTTAGATTCTGAATGTAAATAAGATAATAGTGTTTGTCTCAGTGTGCCTGGCTTACTTCATAGCACAGTGTCCTCCAGGGCCATCCATTTGGTTGTGAATGACAAAATTTCCTTCTTTTTAAAAGGCCATTATATTGTATATGTATATCCTATTTTTTTTTTTTTTTGAGGCAGTGTCTTGCCATTACCCAGACTAGAGTGCTATGTGTCAGCCTAGCTCACAGCAACCTCCGATTCCTGGGTTCAAGTGATCCTCTGGCCTCAGCCTCCCCAGGAACTGGGACTACAGGTGCCCCACCACAATACCCTTCATCTGTTGATGGACATTTAGGTTGCTTCTATGTCTTGGCTATTGTGAGTAATGCTAAAATGAACATGGATTTATAAGGAGCTCAATAGCATGAAAACAAATAGCCTCATTTAAAAATGGGCAAAAGATCTAAACAGACATTTTTGAAAAGAAGACATACAAATGGCAAAGAGATGTATGAAAAAATGCTCAACATCTCTAATCATCAGGAAAATGCAAATTAAAACTACAATGAGCTATCATGTCACACCAGTTAGAATTACTATTATCAAAAAGATGAATGGCTCGGCGCCTGTGGCTCAAGTGGCTAAGGTGCCAGCCACATACACCTAAGGTGGCGGGTTCGAATCCCCAGCCTGGGCCCGCCAAACAACAATGATGGCTGCAACCAAAAAAATGGTCAGGCGTTGTGGCGGGCACCTGTAGTCCCAGCTACTTGGGAGGCTGAGGCAGGAGACTTGCTTGAGCCCAGGAGTTGGAGGTTGCTGTGAGCTGTGATGCCATGGCACTCTACCCAGGGGGATAGCTTGAGGCTCCGTCTCAAAAAAAAAAAAAAAAAAAAAGATGAATGATAAGTATTGGAAAGGATATAGAGAAATGGGAACCCTGGTACACTATTGGTGGAAATGTACATTAGCACAACCATTTTGGAAAATACTATGGAAGTTCCTGAAAAAACTAAAAATAAAATTACCACATAATCCAATAATCCTTCTTCTAGGTATGCAGTCCAGTGAACTGACTGACATTGGATGGTGGAGAGCTGCACTCATGTGTTCATTCCAGCATTAGAATGTCATCTTTCCAGACATGTTCTACTTCATGGATCTGTCACTGAATTATAAACTCTTTAAACTTCTTCCACAAGGTTTCAGACATCCCAGAGACTCCCAGGGATCATAACAAGGAACATGTTTACACATGTTTGTGGAATGAATGAAAATCTTTCATATGGTCACAGTACTAATAACTAAGGATTAGGCCATCAGAAATGAGAGCTAGAGTAAGAAAGGAGGAAACTAAATGAGTAAAGCCTAGGATTTCAGAAGAAAGCAAGCTGAACAGGAAGCAGCCTAGCAGTTCACTCGGAGGCCAGAGCCTGGAACCCGGGAGAACTCCCATGAGGGAAGTTCTTTTCTATAAAGCTTAAATTCTTGCCAGGAGAAAATTACTAGTAAACTTAGAAACAGCGAGAGTATCCGTATAAGTTTTTTTTTTTACCTTATTGTCTTGATAATGATAATTTTTCCTTTCAAATTCATAAGGAATTTTAGAATAAATACAGTTTTATATGTGTGGTGTGAATATCACTGCAGTTTCCTTGAGAATCCTTGAAGTCCATCCTCCACAGGAGTTTACATTTTAGAATATGCTTGCTCAGGCAATCATCTCACCTGTGTTCATACGCACGAAATTACTGATTAGTCATTCATTAACTATTTAAGGAGCACCCACAGGGTACTCTGTTCAACCTTTGGGTTTCTGAAAGCCTAGCCTCCCATCTATTACAGTTTTGCTAAACAACATTACATTTTTTAGAGATGAACAAAGTCATAACCATGTTATTCTAATACTGGTGATTGTAACAATAACATGACTTAGATTTAGTGTACACAGCATTTCTTGTTGGAATTCTGATTACTATGTAAATAATAGGTATCATTGTTTAATGACCAGACCAGGAAGTGCCTCGAGCCCAATTTCTCAAAATGGGACATGGGGAATTCTGTGGAATTGAATAGACTGGAAGGAATGAATTAAAAGGAAAAAAATGGCAAAAGAAGAAAGGCTTTACTTGTTACTGTTAGCAGGGAAGTTCCCCATCTTTGCTCACCTGAAATGAGTTTCCCCTCTTGAAATGTTCTCCTGGTCCCAACCTACTGCCCTCCTGTCCCCTGGCTAACTGCTTGGGTTCACCCCAGGCCCTGCTCCCTCCATGAGGGCTTCCTTAACCTTTCCGTATGGCTGGGTTTAGTTGCTCCTCTTTGGTTCCGCAAGGTATGGTGCTGATATTTGATTAGAATCGCTTATCTGATTACTGTTGACCATTCATCTAATTAATGTTGACAGCACATAGCTAGACCTTTCTCTCAAGGTGCTTAGAATCATCTGAAGTGGGAAGATACAGCACTGTCTTTGCCTTCTTCACCTCCAATTCCTAAAGGAGCAGGCTCTCTGTGGCCACTGGCTGTACTTCCTGTTCACTCTCTAACTGCCCAAGTCCACCTTCATGCACTGGACAGTCTGGTTTCTAGTTCCACCCTCCTGAAACTCCTCTTTGTGTCACCTTCTTAAAGCCAAATCCAAGTGACCACTTCTCATGAAATCTCAGCGGCATTTTGTAAACGCTGATTCCTTTCTTCTTCAATTTAATTCTCTGGGCACCCAAGACTCCAGATTCTCCCTACGTTTCTCTGATGGAATCCTGCTGCCTCCTCCAGGGGGTTTCCCTGGCCCACTTCCAGCAGGTGCGTGTGCCCAAGAAGCTATCCTTTGCGCAGTGTTTTTCTGTACTCTTCCCTGAAGAAATTCCTCCGGTTTTATGATCTATGCTATGTCTCCCAAATCTGTACATCCAGTTTATTTCTCTCTCTTGAGCTTCAAAACCCAGCTGTCTATTGGATCTATCCATCTGGTTTTCTTTGGAACGTTTGGTCCCGCCAGCCTCTGTGTCCAGACACCTCTCCGTGGCCAGAGGCCACCCCTCCATGGCAGACCTGCCAGGCTGTTCTCTCCTGTGTCTTCAATTTGCTCCCTTGCCGCCATCTTCATGGCCAAGGACTTAGTTCCTGCTCTCAGTATCTCCCCAGCTGTATCGCCCATT